GCTGATGTGGAGTCTGGGCCCCTGTCTGGGGGTCCGGGTGCAGCCGGTTCCATGGTGCTCGTCCACCGTGTGGGTGCCCAGCGTGCAGGCTTTCATCTCTGGGGTCCCTGAGTTGATGTCGCGTCCTCGGGCGCCACCTGGAGGTCAGATTTCCGAGGATGAGCGGATCGTTTTGGAGGCGTACTGTTTGCGGTTTCAAGTTCGGGATTTTCCACATAAATATGCGTCTGTGTTGGCGGTGCCTTTTCACTTTTGTAATTTGCCCTGGGTTTATTGCTGTGTTTAGTTTGCTGTTTTTGCTGTGGGGCCCCTCAGGCCTCTATTACTTTGTTCATTTGTTTGTTTGTACCTTGTTATGTTTTATGCCATGTGTTGTTTTTGTGTTAGTTGTGAGCTGACTTGTGTATTGTCTTTTTGTTTCTGTTTATCATACTGTTATTTTGTATTTATGTATTTATATGTATTGGTGTGGGGGTTAGTTCGGGGACTTTTGTTCTGATCATTTGTAACTTGTAATGGTGATGTTGGTTTATTTTTGTGTCTGCTTTTATTTGTATTTATGCAGCATGCTTTTGCATGTCAATATAAAAGAAAAGACTCACGGACCAAAGAAAACAGGCTAGTACCATAAAAAAACATACAGCCAACTCAAACAAAGAAACAAAATAAAAGGAGATTAGAAACACACACAGTCAATCAAAAGTGGAGATGCAGCCTCGAACTCACATGCCAAGAACACAACGATTAACACCGCCGTCCGCTAAGCCCAACAACACTGGAGCAGCAGCAGCAGCAGCATAAGCCACCGGGAACCACCGAGCAATGACCTTCGGAAGCGACCACATCGTGTAGAGGAGTGGAGACGCAGCCTCGAACTATCCCCTCAAGAACCCCAATAGCTGAGCTACATCGTAACATTCTTTTCATCAACCCACAAACAAAAATTGTAGTCTGACACCAACACCCCTAAGTGTTTTGAATTCTACAATTCCCCCTCGGAAACGACAAAATAGAACCACATAAAATCTACCTGCAAATGAGTCCCGCATAAGGTAGCTATGGTACCCCGAAGCCAGTCCACCAAACAAGTAACCCGCCGAGAAAAGTAAAACACATGAAGTTGGGACTCACTCACCCCACAATGGGCACAATACCCCCAGCCCATACTCGTTAACAAAGGCCAAAAGTGATTCCATGCAGCCAGCAAGCACCCCCTATATAGCTGCTTATGTATGAAAAAGAATTCTCATGCGACTTGCAACTGATCAATTGCATTAGTTCCAACAGTAATTCATTGACGACTGTTTTGACCGCGTGAATTCACTAGTCCATAACTGCATCAGATAAGATGGCATAGCCAAGTTTTTGGATAACCTTTGAGAGTATTTTTTACATCAATAAGTCATATTATATTTTCTATTGAGGTTTACAGTAGGTTTCGAATTAAATTGATGCTGTATAGGTATTTATTTCATACAATTATGTATAGTGTCAATAAGTTACATACTCTTGTTAGAATATATAAACAGCATGTATTGATCATTAATGGTGTGAGTAGAGGAATGTAGGTGTTTGTTGTGGTGTTCATATGTGTGGGGTTGTAGGCAGGCGTACAAGTGCAAATTTCGCCAACTGTACATGATGCTATGAGCGTGTATTATTTACCTTGCATGTGTACAGTGTTGCCAGATTGGGCTACAAATAGCGAATTGGGCTACTTTTGAGAGCCCCGCGCACCCAAATTTTTAATTTCGCTACTTGCTACTTTTTGGGCTAATTTAAAAGCAAGATGTGCTAATTTGGGCTATTAATGTTAAGAATGTACGATTGCGAGTTACATGAAAGTAACTAAGCTATAAATAATTGTAATTAATAATAATTGTAAATATTAATTAATACTAAATAATATTATTTAATAAATTAGTCCCAATTCAATGCAGAGTTTTCTTCCAAGCACAGAAACTTGTAAATATAAATACAAGATAATAGATAGATCGATAAATAAATAGACAACTTTCAAATATTGCACCAAGTAATGGCGAGAGGAAAAAACTAGACAGTATACATTACATTTGAAATTAATAATGGATGAATGGTAATAAATTGGTGTATGTTTGTATGTATACCAGACAAAGTCCATTTAATGGCAGAATTTAGCCATTTTGTGTAAAAACTTTTATATCTCATATTATTAATTATAACAGTAATCGAAAAAAGTCATAGTTTGTATATACAAGAGATGAAACAGAGAGCCATGAGCTAGAGCGATGTGCTGAGTCCATAAGGAGGCCGAGCTTCCAGAAATACCTTCCTGTGATTGGCTGTTGCGGGGAATACCAACACTCTTTTATGAATAAAATTTAAACTAAGAAATAGGTCCTTGTGCACAACAACAAGGTTGTTGTGAAAAAGAACAACAATTTCTGTTTTGCACCTGACAGAAATCTCCATCTAACTGAATAATTTACTCGAATAAGAGGGCAGAGCAGTGTATCATTATTTGTGTCAAGGCAACCCCCAATAATAACGTCTCAAGTTAGGTAGCCAGCCCATTTTTATATAACATCTGTTATATCCTGCAATATTTAATTATCACTTTATTAACACTTTAAATAATTAACACTTCACTTTTTTGGGTAAATTAAAGTTAAAGCAGAATTCCATAAGCAGGACTAGTGGGCTGAACTAAGATGATTTACTAAGTGGATGGCACCTATAGCTGATTCCTTCCTGTGATTGGCTGTTGTGTGAATGTCAACAAAGAATATCTACCAATGATATGCCATTTATTATGCACCCCATACCATCTGTGGGCGGAGCTTGGAACCTCCTACCCGAGCACAACAACCCGCCTTATGGGTTGCTGTTTGGCTATTTATAGTGCGTTGGAAAAAAAACAGATGGCGCTAGTTGTATTTTGTAGGGTAATTTGTTATAAGTGTAATTTGATGTCAACAGATGGCGTAAGCTGTATCTTATGGCTACTATTGACCAGCCAGTTGATAGTGTTCTCTTCTGCCGACAGATGGCATCAGCTGTGTTATTATTACTTCCGAATTCCCTTTAAACACTGATCTACAAATCCCTTGGCTTATGATAAGGTTTTATACCATTTATGATAAGTATTAGATAACTGGAGTTCCGCAATTACTTTTATTTATCAACTGTTCAGGATATCATCATATCACGTCTGGTTAGGACGTACTGCTCTCGATTGATGAAGATTAAGCCACCCAAGAGGTGGCACGGGCATGAATAGCCCGTAAATACTGCTCTCGTAATATTATTCAGGGGGGTGGGGGAACTATCAAGTGAAAGTGCCAAGCCATTACGACTATATAGCACTCGGAAGGGATCAGGATACGGATTTGGGATGGAACGGGGGAAAGGAATTTTGTCCAACCTTTTGGGCTGTCGGGGATTGAACGCGGACCTGTAGGAAACGAGACCGTCGCTCTACCGTCCAGCCCAAGTGGTTAAGCGTAATATTATTAAAACAACAATTTATACATATAATAACAGCATTTCACACTAGAAAATACTTGGATATATCGAAATTTGGTAGTGAATTCCAATCTAGGAATCTCCTATGACTAAACTGTACTTTTTAATTATTTTTATGTACTGTACTTACTACTTATTATTAAATTATTAAGTACTTACTATAATAATTAAATAAATTATTTCATTTAATATTTAAATTAAATGATAAAATAATAGGTAATAATAAATCATTGTGTAGGGGGGACAGGCAGCCAGTGTGTATATATATATATGTTAGGCTTATACCAAGGTGCCACAAAGGTCCCACAAAGGTGCCAAATTGAAGACTGGATGCTGCCGGGGCGGGCCCAAGGGCTGCTGTCGGCCCTGGCCAGGCTGAACTTCCGCGCTTTGAATTCTTCTTTGAATAGAAATAATATAAATAAAACAATTAACATCATGTAGTGTACTCTATATATCAAAATATATTACTTTTAAACCCATATCATTCACTAAAAAAAATTGGGCTACTCTAATTACAAAATCGCTACTTTTAGACCGTCAGCTTGCTACTTTCAGCAATTTAGATCTGGCAACCCTGCCGTCAGTGGTCTATGGAGCCTCATAGGGTAAGGGTGTTGTTGCTGCTGCTGCTCTCTATGTAAGTTAAGTCTTAGATTTTTTCCTTGTAGGTCATACTGAAAGCTTATCTGTAAACATTAGTAAGATATGAAAGGGTTCACTAAGGTAAGGCGGTGAATTGTGCATTAGATTTTAAGGATGTAAATTTACCTTATGGGCTCATTACCTGGTTTATTTATTTACAGAGGTAAGAGACTTATATTCTTTCTCAGTACCCCAGAGCTTAGAGGAGTTTGTCTTATATGTTAATATGTGAGGTTAGGCTATGGCAGATTATGCTGGCGGTTATATTTAAGCGTAGAGCAGAGTACATACCCCGCCCCCCTCCCTCCCCCCGAGCCTTGTTCAAGACTCAACATAAAAACGACTTACGTTCGAATTGCAATTCTTTAAATGCTTCACCCCACATACCGCAAATACAAATAATTACCAACAGAACACCTAACCTATGTACAAATTTACAATACATACTATTATTAATAGATATTAGAAAAACAAAGATATTGAAATACTACGTTAAAATTAATGAATGCGCCTTGAGGTCGGCCGCCCAACCGCTTGTATGAGAATAGCTTAAGGACGGGGTTGATATTGATGTATTTTTTCCTGCTTACATGTTTATTTATTTATTTATTTATTTATTTATATATATACAAGAAGGTACATTGGGTTTGTGAGAATACATTGGATAGTACAGTATTTACATTCTTGTAAAGCCACTAGTACGCGCAGCGTTTCGGGCAGAAACGTCATCCATTGTCATCCGTCATCCATCCTAAATGTCATCCATTTAGCTCAAACTTGGTGAACACGACCACCCAGGACCTGCTGCTTCAGTGAGGTGGGTGAGACAACAGGAAAACAGATTCGAAAGATAATTTGTATATATATATATATTTTTTGTTTTCGTCATTATCAGTGCACATTGTATAAATAGGAACATTGCCTCTGGCAAATTCTTTCACTCAGCTCGACTACTCATGGCGCCAAACACACTCAACATTTTTATAAAGGTAGTTTTGTTGTATATAATACAGCATACATTTTGATTCATCAAATACTATCAGTTATACACGAATGTGCAGGTACAGGTATATATATCAACATTTATAAATACATTAAGTAATATCACATAGCGAGGACAGAACCGATGTCCTGTTGACATCTCTTGGCCTTGCCGATCCTGCCAGGACAGGAGTGCGGGATTTTGGAGGATGTTTGAAGGATGGTGGGGATATAGGATGATATGAAGGATAGAAGGTCTAGTGGTATAAGTTGGAAGTGGATGTGACGTGTCCAAGACTGCTTGAGGGATGCAGGCGTTGCTCAATTGCTAGTAGGATTGTTGCAGGATGGGGGGTGGAGGTTCGCTTGGAAGATAGGGTTCCTGTAGGATTGCTAGCAGGATGAGTTCGTTGCAGAAGCGCTTATAGGATGGGACGTTGAAGGACTGCTTAAAGAATTTAAGTTGCTGAAGGGTTAGGTAAAGGATTCTACAGGCACAAAGGATACAGAATGGATTCCTTCTGGAGGGACATATCCTAGGATGCCTGTAGGGTGAGTAATGGCCAAGACTCTTCTATAGGATACTAGGAGGTACTGGGCCTTTACAAGCGTAGGATCAGTGGCAGGAATGAGGAAGGTGTGGCAGGACTCTTTAATGCCCAACTACTAGTAATGCCCAAGATGGGACTTAATGCCCTGATACGGCATTGTGGGAATCCTTCCACCCGGGAGGTGAATGTATGACACAAGACAACATTAAGGCAGCTGGAAGGTCAGTTAGAAGGAGAGATCAGGCATGAACGACTTCCAGAATGAGATGGAGTGGTCGTCTGACGAAGAGTTGGTGGGAGAGAGAAGGACGGAGACCACACGATACCAAGAATTAGTTGATAATTATTATTGTGATGGTGAGCGGGAGTAGCATAATAGGATGGGCTATTGACTTTGAAATGGCGGTGTAGGATGACGTGTACCTTATTCAACCCTTCACCTACCTTGTAGAGTGGTAGGTGAAGAGTAGGATAAGGTATCCTTAAAGTCAGTGGGGAAGGTTGCATGAAGCTCTCTTGGAGTGAGTTGCTGAAGGTAGGGTGAAGGACTCCTGGTGTGGATATGGAGGGTAGGATAAAAGATCAGGAGAGTGAGAGTTAGGAGTATTGATAGATTCCTGGAATGAACTTTAGACTTCAGGTTATTTGACTCATGGAAAAGTCGGGGAAAAATTAGATAACTGGGCGCCTGGAATGATCGTGGGATGACACAATACTTAGTATGATAGTTGAAGGGAAGGTGGCGAGGCTAAGAATGATTCGGTTGGATGAAGGGTCTGAATCCCTCTGACGTTCAGGATGCTGATGGATGCGGGGTGACAGGGATGAGAGGTGCACGCTGAGAACTGACACGCCAGCTGGACTAAGCAGGAAGAATAGTGATTTACAAAAGGTTTTGTATTAGAGCATGCATCCTATCCTTCGTAGCCAGTAATGTGACCGGCACCTGGGGAAGGGGCAGGGAAAGGATAGTGAGGAGCGGAAGGAGGGGAATAGTTGGGTCCTGGCAGGGGGCCGGTGAGGGCTTGAGGGAATGTCTGTTCACCGACTTCGCTGCCAGCGGAGGCAGCTGTCAGTGTCTTGCCGCTGCGTTTGCTATGGTTGTGTGAGTGCTTGCTATGCTTGTCGAACTTGTTCTGCAGCTTGCTTGCTTGGTGGATCTGATAGACGTGTTCCTCGGGGTCCTGACCCTCCTCCAAACCGAAGCCCTCAATGTTACGGGGGTAGAGCACCACCTCGTCGTCTTGGAGTACGGGCGGCTTCTCGTAGGGAAGATAGATGTCGTTGGGTTGACCATCCCCTCTGGGAGCATTGGCCCTGAGGAAGTCACAAAAAATATTCAGAGATAAAGAAGTCACAGGATATTCAAGGAAACGGAAGAGCATCCAGCTACTTGTGAGTCAACTGGAAGGCATAAAACGGAATTAGAAGATACTGAAGGGAGTTAAGAGAGACTACTGGCAGTTGGGTGTAGAGGATTAAGATCTTGGAGGAGCTGAGATGAGCAGTGATGGGTGGAACATGGCTGATGGGGGAGTTGGTAAACACGGCGGGGAGGCGAGAAGATATGTGGGGTTAGGGAGAGGAAGAGGTGGGTGGGGGTTGTAAGAGACTGAGGACGTACCTGACACTATCTCCGGGAATGTATCCGTGGAAGGGTAAGCTCTCTGCTCCGCTCTGCGCCACTGCCATCTGCAGGACAACACTCGCGGAGCTCAGTAGCAATACGGCCTTCCACTGTGGCGCCGCACAGGTGGAGCAGGCGCAGCAGCAGGTGGGGCAGGAGCAGCAGCAGGTGGGGCAGGAGCAGCAGCAGGTGGGGCAGGAGCAGCAGCAGGTGGGACAGGAGCAGGAGGGGAAGACGAAATATTTTTGGTTAGCAAAAACCAGCTCCTCGCAGCCTTTCCTCCGGTGTAATAGCTTCACCACATTAACATTTCTCAGACAAAATACCGGTGTTTCTGGATATTCAGAACACGACACAACACACTTTAAACTAATAACATGAGCATCAACTTCCCTCAACTTACAGTCGAGCAATAGATTAACAATAACAAAACTTCATCTGTGTTTTAAAGGCAGAAGATTATTGAGAGGTGATGGACGGTTGCGTGGGAGTTCGTCCGGACAAAATACACCCCATCATTATGACCGATTGTTAAGGTAATATTTGGACAGTCTGGAGGCAAGAGCTCAGCACCTTACATCTCTGTCTAGCTTTTGGGTGAGTCGCAATTACTTGTACCGACTTCTGCTTGTCCCTTACTTGTCTTAATGCAATTTAGATTTTCGTTGCAAACGGCCTTAGCAATTATTTAACTGTGATAATCTAACATTTATTATGTTTTACGTTGAATTACTGTTCTAACCAATATTTAACTTATAAATTATTAATATTACAAAGCCAGGACGAAGAGTTGTAATTCCTTCATTACAAAACCAATTGGAGGTTTAGGTATTAGTAACGAGTGTAGAGCCTCGCTGAGGCCCTCAGCCCTGAGGCAAGGGTTAGTGTTGACAAGAGTGGGATGTTGTTGTTTTAGATTTAGCTACTGAGAAGGAAATGTCCGTGTAGCAGGGGCTATAGTGAGCCCGAATGGAAGAGTAGGAGATAAGATTGATGAAGACCAAGCCACCCAAGAGGTGGCACGCTCTTGAAAAGCCCGTAATTGAAGATTACGGGCTTTTATTATGAGATTATTGGCTTATTTTATCAAGTTTGTAGGGAGAAGGTAGGTAAGGTGTGAACTTGTATTGAGTAAGGTGTGTGTGAGGAAGGAGGAGCCAGCTTACCATGGTTCTCAGTATACCCCGCTTGTGAGCTGACTCAAGTCTTGGATGGAACTGATACTTCTCCTGCCTCCTCCACCCTATTTATGTCTCCCCCGCGACCTTAACATCATCCACCATACCGTCATTACGATTTCTTCCTCCTTCCCCGTTGCTGGGTGTGCATGTGCGTTCTTGTGTGCGACTGAAGACGTGCACATGGGAATGTTGCAACACGTGTGACTTATGATTGATTGCAACATCATACACGCCGCTTCAACTCGTTTATTATATATATCCGTGCTATAAGAGAGAACATCTGTTTGTCTGTTCAAAGTTGGAAGCCATACTCTTGGGGCTAAGCTCACCCAAACTGGCAGGGGCAATGGTCTGGGGTACGGGATGAACATAGGCTGTTCGGGGTCAGATTATCTTCTTGAGGTTATCTTGAGATGATTTCGAGGCTTTTTAGTGTCCCCGCGGCCCAGTCCTCGACCAGGCCTCCACCCCCAGGAAGCAGCCCGTGACAGCTGACTAATACCAAGGTACCTATTTTACTGCTAGGTAACAGGGGCATAGGGTGAAAGAAACTCTGCCCATTGTTTCTCGCCGGCGCCTGGGATCGAACCCAGGACCACAGGATCACAAGTCCAGCGTACTGTCCGCTCGGCCGACCGGCACCCTCGGTCGGCATAATTTAAAAGAAAACAGCGTGTCAGGGCCATATTCAGACCCCCACGACCATTTTTGGCACTGACCGCCCGCTACAGTTTCCACCTGTGTCCTCTTGTCCTGCTATATCTCAATCTGAAGAGGCTATCCTTGTCCACCTTATCTATTCCCCTCAGCATCTTGTATGTTGTGATCATATTCCACCTGTGCCTTCTATTCTCTAGGGTTGTGAAATTTAGTTCCATTAGCCAGTCTTCGTAGCTTAACCCTCTTAGCTCCGGCACCAGTCTTGTTGCAAATGTTTGTACTTTTTCAATTTTGGTTTTGTGCTTCATAAGGTGCGGATTCCACGCCGGTGCTGCTTATTCCAGTATTGGTCTATCAAATGGTGTGTAGAGTTCCTTGAAGGAGTCCTGGTTCAGATTTCTAAACAATGTTTATATGTTTACCAGCGTCGCATATGCTGCCGATGTCATCTTGTTTGTGTGTGTCTCCGGTGTTAGTTTTGGAATTATATCCACTCCCAGATCCTTCTCGCTTTCTGATTCTTGTAGCTTCCTTCCCATTATGGCGTGGGTGCCTTCTGGTCTGCTCTCTCCCTTTCCCATCTTCATTACCTTACATTTGTTGGGATTGAATTCCATCAATCATTTGTGTGATCACTTGCCAGGAGATTGTTAGGGTCCTCCTGTAACTTCACGCAGTCCTCATCTGTATTCACATTCCTCATCAGCTTTGCAACGTCTGCAAACATTGACATGACCGAGCTCACTCCCTCGGACAGGTCGTTCACTCAAATTAGTAACAGTGATGGTCCCAGGACAGAGCCTTGTGGGACCCACTTGTTACATTCCTCCAGCTTGTAACGTCCTCTTTGACTGTGACTCTGCTTCCTGTCCTTCAGATTCACCCCCTTTACCGGTCCAGTATTTCCTTATTTATCCCAGCCTGCTTCTCCATCTTGTGCAACTGTCTTTCATGGGAAACGGTGTCAAATGCTTTTTGACAGACTAGAAAAGTACAGTCTACCCAGCCTTCCCTTTCCTATCTTATTTTAGTAAAGTTTTCATAAAACTCGATCAAGTTTGTCAAGCACGACTTTTCATTTCTAAATCCATGTTTTTTTTTTTTTGCTACAAAGTCGATCTTTTCAAGATACCTCTTCCATTTTGGTTTTATGCCTCACAAAGTGGAGCTTCCATGCCGGTGCTGCATATTCCAGGATTAGTCTAATACATTTTGGATAGATTGCATTACAGGAGTCTTGATTTATGTTTCTAAACGACATTCTTATATTTGCCAGCGTCCCGTATGCTGCCAATGTTATCCAGTTTATGTGTGTCCCAGGTGTGTTAGCCTTGGAATATATCCATTCAATTATTTTTCTTCAGTTTCTGTAGTTGCCTTTCTCTTATGGTATAGATGCCTCCTAGTCTCCTCTCTCCCTTTCCAATCTTCATTACCTTGCACTTGGATGGTAATAGAAATTATTGAATTTCTATTCAATAATTGGATGAATGTAGAAAATAGAGAACTATTAGCTGAATATCAAATAAATGGATTTAAACTATTTCACACAGATAGATATATTAGACGAGGAGGGGGAGTAGCCATATATGTTAGGGACAATTTGAAATGTAGTCTCAAAGAGGGAATCAAAACTGAGCCACACACAGAAACTATTTGGATAGAATTATACGAAGAAGCAAATAATATTATAATAGGAGTTATATATAGGCCACCAAATTTAGACAGAATGGAAGCAAAGTATCTATGGGATGAAATATCTAGGGCATCTAGATCTAACAGTATTTACGTCATGGGTGACTTTAATTTTAGTGGAATAAACTGGTTGAACAAAACAGGGAATAGTGAAGCAGAAGATTTTATAGAATTAATTGACGATTGCTTTCTTACGCAACACATTAAGGAACCAACACGGGAAAATAATATTTTAGATTTAGTGTTAACTAACAGGGAAACACAAATTAATGACATCGAAATAGGGAGTGAGCTAGGGAACAGTGATCACAAAGAAATCAGATTTAGTATAGAATGGAATAGACCTGTAGGAGAAAATTCTGTTAAAGTGCCAGATTTTCGAAAAGCTGATTTTAATAGCCTAAGAAATTTTTTGGGTCAAATTGATTGGAAAGTCTTGGGTATGGGGTGGGGGCCGGTCTTGGAGCGAGACATGAACCCAGCGATAGGTGACGTAAATGGGGATTTCGATGTGGATTCAATATATAACTTATTTAAGAATATTCTAAACAAAGCACAGGAACGTAGTATACCATACAAATTGAATAGATCGAATACTAATGACCCAAAGTGGATAACAAAGAATTTGAAGAACCTTATAGGTAAAAAGAGAGCTTGGTACAAAAGGATTAAAAATGGGGAGGTCACTTTTGAACAGGGATTCGTACAACTGGTTAGAAATCTTAAAAAAGAGATAAGGAAAGCAAAAAGAAACTATGAAGTTCGCATAGCAGGGCAAGCAAAGACAAATCCTAAAGGTTTTTTCAGTTATATCGTACTAAGACTAGGGAAAGGATAGGTCCATTAAAAACTGAGACAGGTCAAATAACAGATAGTGATGAAGAGATGAGTAGTATTTTTAATAAATATTTTGTATCTGTATTTACTAAAGAGGAACTTAACAATATGCCTTCAGCCGAACAAGTCTATGTGGGTGGGGACGAGGACAAGTTGACGAGTTTAGCAGTTACTAGGGAGGATGTTCTTAAACAAATAGTAAAACTCAAACCAAACAAATCCCCAGGGCCGGATGAAGTGTTTGCCAGGGTGCTTAAAGAATGGAAAGAGGAGCTTTGTGACACACTGTCAACCATATTTAATAAATCAATAGAGTCAGGCAGAGTGCCAGAGTTTTGGAAAGTTGCTAATGTGATACCAGTTTTTAAGAAAGGAGATAGATCACTTGCGTCTAACTATCGACCAATTAGCCTAACGTCTATTGTGGGAAAGTTATTCGAATCTATAATAGCAAATAAAATTCGTCTTCATCTTGAAAAACATAAATTAATAACTGAGTCGCAACATGGTTTTATAAATGGCCGTTCATGTTTAACAAATTTGGTATCTTTTTATTCTAGCATTGTTGAGGCAGTTGATAGTGGTAAGGATTGCGATGTTGTGTACCTTGACTTTAGCAAAGCTTTTGATACAGTGCCACATGAAAGACTGATTAAAAAGATAGAGTCTCATGGTATTGGGGTGCTATATTAAGCTGGATTAGGGCATGGCTATACCAAAGGAAACAGAGTTAGTATAAATGGAGTCAAGTCAGAGTGGGAAAATGTTGTAAGTGGGGTGCCTCAGGGCTCTGTCCTGGGAACTCTGTTGTTTATAATATATATAAATGATTTAGATTCAGGTTTGAGTAGCAACATTTGCAAATTTGCCGATGATACGAAAATCGGTAAGGAAATTAATTCGGAGGAGGACTCACTATCACTTCAAGTTGATCTAGATAGGGTTTTGAAATGGTCGAAGGATTGGCAGATGCAGTTTAATGCTGATAAATGTAAAGTTCTGAGGTTAGGTAATGATGATAGGGTTACAAGATACGAGCTAGATGGTGTTGAGATTGCGAAGTCGAATTGCGAAAGCGATCTGGGAGTTATGATTAGTAAGAATTTAAAACAAAAGGATCAATGCATAAATGTTCGTAATAAGGCAAATCGGACACTTGGATTTATTAATCGCAGCATTAGTAACAAGACACCTGGTGTGGTTCTCAAGCTATATCTTGCTCTAGTTAGGCCCCATTTAGATTATGCAGTTCAGTTTTGGTCGCCATATTATAGAATGGATATAAATTCACTTGAACGTGTCCAGCGTAGGATGACTAAGTTAATTCCCCAAATTAGAAATCTTTCATATGAAGAAAGATTAACAAAGCTTAAGTTGCATTCACTGGAAAGGCGAAGAGTTAGGGGTGACATGATAGAGGTTTACAAGTGGGTGAATGGACATAACAAAGGGGATATTAATAGGGTATTAAAAGTATCAACACAAGACAACACGAAACAATGGGTATAAATTGGATAAGTTTAGATTTAGGAAAGACTTGGGTAAATACTGGTTCAGTAACAGGGTTGTTGATTTGTGGAACCAATTGCCGCGTAACATTGTGGAGGTGGGGTCCCTCGATTGTTTCAAGCGTGGGTTGGACATGTATATGAGTGGTATTGGGTGGTTATAAATATGAGCTGCCTCGTATGGGCCAACAGGCCTTCTGCAGTTGCCTTTGTTTTTATGATCTTATGTTCTTGTTGGACTGAATTCCAGCAACCACTTATTTGCCCACTGCTGGAGTTTGTCAAGGTCTTCCTGCAGCTTCGTGCATTCCTGTGTTTTCACATTGCTTATCAACTTTGGGTCATCTGCAAACATTGACATGTGCGAGCTCACTTCTTCAGGTAAGTCCTTCACATAAATTATGTAGAGTAGCGGTCCCAAGACTGAGCCCTGTGGGACCCTACTTGTTACATTCCTCCAGTAAGAAACGTCTTCTCTGACTGTGACCGTTTTATCCTTCAGGCACTCCCTTACCAGCGTGTTCCCAGTTATCCCAGCCTGCGTCTTTGTCTTGTACTCCAGTCTATTACGACGGACACTGCCAAATGATTTTTTACAATTTAAGAAAATAGTCTACGTAGTCATCTTTTTCCTGTCTTGTTTTAGCAAGCCTGTCATAGAACTCAGACCAGCTTGTCAGGTACGATATTCTCTGTCTAAATGCATGCTGCCCGTCTCTTCCCTCCCCCGGTACAAAGTTGGTCCTCTCCAGGCGCTCCATCTGTCTCAGCCTCAGTAGTTTCTCCAGCACTTTACCCGGAATTCTGGTTGATGACATTGATCTGTAATTAAGTGCCTCGTGTATGTTCCTTTTTTTCTACTTGAGGACTACTATTGCCTATTTTCTAAAATTCTGGGAGATTTCTTGTCTCTTTAGATAACAGGTGACAAGGTACTTCTGCAGCCGCCTTCAGCACCCATGGCAAGATTAGGTCTGGTCCCATTGATTTTGTTACATCTAGTTTCTTCAGATGTTTTTTACCTCTGTTACATTACAGTGTCATCCATTGTTTCTTTCGGCCTTTCATCTTGCATGTAGGTTCTGGTTGATGATACGACTCTGGGGTCAAGGGATGATATGAGCTTGGGGGGGGGGGGGGGGGGGGGGGTTACAGAGGAGGATACAAGTCTGAGGTCCAGGAAAAGGAATAGTCAAATATTTGTTTGGCTTTATTGACAGCTGATAGAGGCGTCAATGAGTAATCACAGAGGCACATCGGAAGCTAATTTAGTGTATCTACAATACTGGCAGGGAGTGAAGCGCGTCTCCAGTTATGGCTTTGAACGTAATAAGGTTGGGAAAAGCATAGCATATGATTTTGTCGTTAACATGTCAGCCATTTAGCTGCTCATTCAGTTCCATTCTGAGCTCCTGATAGTTCCTGATAGTTCCATTCCTTCAACTCCTGATAGTTCCATTCAGCGAGGTGGGAACGGAATGGAACTATCAGGGGTAAAGCGTCAAGCCATTACGACTATACAGCACTGGGAAGGGATCAGGATAAGGATTTGGAATGGGACAGGGGAAGGAAACATGAGGTGGGAGAGAAAACAGGAAAACAGATACGAAAGATAATTTGTATATATATATTTTTTGTTTTCGTCATTATCAGTGCACATTGTATAAATAGGAACATTGCCTCTGGCAAATTCTTTCACTCAGCTCGACTACTCATGGCGCCAAACACACTCAACATTTTTATAAAGGTAGTTTTGTTGTATATAATACAGCATACATTTTGATTCATCAAATACCATCAGTTATACACGAATGTGCAGGTACAGGTATATATATATCAACATTTATAAATATATTAATATCACATAGCGAGGACAGAACTGATGTCCTGTTGACATCTCTTGGCCTTGCCGATCCTGCCAGGACAGGAGTGCGGGATTTTGGAGGATGTTTGAAGGATGGTGGGGATATAGGATGATATGAAGGATAGCAGGTCTCGTGGGAATAGTTGGAGTGAGGGATGGGATGACTCTGGCCCTGAAGGATGGCACTTGAACAAGACTGCTTGAAGGATGAAGGAGTTGCTCAATTGCTAGTAGGATTGTTGCAGGATGGGGTGGAGGTTTGCTTGGAAGATAGGGCTCCTGTAGGATTGCTAGCAGTATAGGTTCGTTGCAGAAGCGCTTAAAGGATGGGACCTTGAAGGACTACTTAAAGAATTTAAGTTGCTGAAGGATTAGGTAAAGGATTCTGCAGACACAAAGAATACAGAATGGATTCCTTCTGGAGGGACATATCCTAGGATGCCTGTAGGATGAGTAATGGCCAAGACTCTTCTATAGGATACTAGGAGGTACTGGGCCTTTATAAGCGTAGGATCAGTGGCAGGAATAAGGAAGGTGTGGCAGGACTCTTTAATGCCCAACTACTAGTAATGCCCAAGATGGGACTTAATGCCCTGATACGGCATTGTGGGAATCCTTCCACCCGGGAGGTGAATGTATGACACAGGACAATGTTAAGGCAGCTGGAAGGTCAGTTAGAAGGAGAGATCAGGCATGAACGACTTCCAGAATGAGATGGAGTGATCCCTGACGAAGAGTTGGTGAGAGGTCTCCAGGTTTCCTTAAGCAGAGAGAAGGACGGAGACCATCGATACCAAGAATTAGTTGATGATTCATGGGCTATTGATGAAATGGCAGTGTAGGATGAGGGACACATGGCGTGGTAGGTGTAAGATAGGATAAGGTACCTTTAAAGTTGCCAAGGGAAAGCAGGTTGTATGAATTGCTCTTGGAGTGGGTTGCGGAAGATGGGACGAAGGACTCGGTATAGACGGGGACGGTAGGATGAAGGACTGGGATGGGTCGCGGAGAAGGTAGCGTAAGTGGCTCAGGGTGGGCGTAAGATGATAGCATACCAGACTCCTGATGAGGATGTGGAGGGTAGGATACAGAACTCAGAGAATGGACGTTGAGATCTTTGATAGATGAATTTTAGGGCACTTGAATCCTGGAAAATCCCGAGGAAATTAGGTAACTGGAGGCCTGGAATGATCGTGGGAGGACATAATAGAAGTTACGGTATATGGAGGAAAGAAACTAATAAGGCTAAGAATGAATCGGTTGGACGGAAAGTTGTATGAGTGACTGGAACCCTCGAGTTTCCAGGATGCTGATTGATGAACAGGGACGAGAGGCTGATGCTGAGAACTGACAAGCCAGCTGGACTGAGAAGGGCTTGACAGGATTGAACAGGAAGAATAGTTATTTACAAAAGGAGATGCGAGAGCGTGCACCTTATCCCTGGTAGCCAGGAATGTGATAGCCGCCTGGGGAAGGGGCAGGGAAAGGATAGTGAGGAGCGGAAGGAGGGGAATAGTTGGGTCCTGGCAGGGGACCGGTGAGGGCTTGAGGGAATGTCTGGTCAACGACTTCGCTGCCAGCGGAGGCAGCTGTCAGTGTCTTGCCTTTACTATGGTCGTGTGAGTGCTTGCTATGCTTGTCGAACTTGTGCTGCAGCTTGCTTGCTTTGTGGATCTGATAGACGTGTTCCTCGGGGTCCTGACCATACTCGAAACCGAAGCCCTCAAGGTTACGGGGGTAGAGCACCACCTCGTCGTCTTGGAGCACGGGCGGTTTCTCGTAGGCGAGATAGATGTCGTTGGGTTGACCATCCCCTCTGGGAGCATTCGCCCTGAGGAAGTCACAAAGATTACGATCCCCGGCACCACATAAGCCTCCGCCTCAAACCCACCACTTTAATTCGATGAAGCTTAATCTCGCTGTAGATCATAATAATATTAAATATATATATATATATATATATATATATATATATATATATATATATATATATATATATATATATATATATATATATATATATATATATATATATATATATATATATATATATATATATATATACTTTTCCAAGTAAGCTTCATATGTATTACAACAGAAGATGTCTAAATTAATTATTCAAGAGACAAAAGCAGGCGAGAAGGTTGAAGGTGGCGCCGGTGGCTACACTAACAGGAGCACCAGTAATGGAACTGATGCCACAGCTCCGGCTACACCCTTACTTATCCTGCCTCTGGACGCCATTGGTTATGGTGTTTGTGGTGCGTCTGCCGCAGGAGGTCTGCCCTGACCTTTGACGTGCCTCAGGTGAACATCCCCAAGAGCAAAGTTTAGTGCATGAAAATGGGGAAGAAAAACCACTTTCGCCCATCTGAGCTTGAGCAGAGAAACCAGGTCAGGGAATACAAGGAGCGTCATTCACTGCTAATACAATCATTCTTATTCACACATACAATCAATAAAGTCAGAATGACTGATTGTTATTCCTGTACTCAAAGTTTCAAAACTACTTTGTAAGCTATTGTAAAATATAACTGCACAGAATGTTAAGACAAATTTCTGGGAAGAAAAATCCACAGGCACTCAGGAGGCAAAGAGTTCGCGGGATATACATGGAGTTGATACAATACACATTTAGTTGGGATGGTTCATATGGAGTTGGAATTATCAACATGTAGTTGAGAAGCTACTTGGAAACAACGGGTCACTAGTAAACTGGAAGATCTGAAGATGAGATGAAAGGTTCTCTGTGGAACTTTCGTTGTGGGTAGAGGGGGGGGTCTAGATGGTGATGGGGGTGGGGGTCTAAATGGTAGTGGGAGAAGGAAACGGAATTAGAAGATATTGAAGGGAGTTGAGACTACTGGCAGTTGGATGTAGAGGATCAAGATCTTGGAGGAGCTGAGATGAGCAGTGATGGGTGGAACATGGCTGATGGAGGAGTTGGTAAGCATGGCGGGGAGGCGAGAAGATATGTGGGGTTAGGGAGAGGAAGAGGTGGGTGAGGGTTGTAAGAGACTGAGGACGTACCTGACACTATCTCCGGGAATGTATCCGTGGAAGGGTAAGCTCTCTGCTCCGCTCTGCGCCACTGCCATCTGCAGGACAACACTCGCGGAGCTCAGTAACAATACGGCCTTCCACTGTGGCACCGCACAGGTGGGGCAGAGGCGGCAGCAGCAGGTGGTGCAGAATCAGCAGCAGCAGGTGGTGCAGGATCAGCAGCAGCAGGTGGGGCAGGAACAGCAGCAGGTGGGGCAGGAGGGGAAGACGAAACATTTTCGGTTAGCCAAAACCAGCTTCTCACAGCGTGTCCTTCGGTGTAATAGCTTCATCACATTAACATTTCCCAGACAAAATACCAGTGTTTCTGGATATTCAGAACACGACACAACACACTCTAAACTAATAACATGAACATCAACTTCCCTCAACTTACAGTCGAGCAATAGATTAACAATAACAAAACTTCATCTGTGTTTTAAAGGCAGAAGATCATTGAGAGGTGATGGACGGTTGCGTGGGAGTTCGTCCGGACAGAATACACCCCATCATTATGACCGATTGTTAAGATAATATTTGGACAGTCTGGAGGCAAGAGCTCGACTTCTTGCAGCTCTGTGTAGCTTTTGGGTGAGGAACAATTACCTGTACTGATAATAATATTCTACTGATTGTGTACAGTATTCTGCCTGTCCCTTACTTTTATACAACAGCTGACAAATTGAATTCTCGACGCAAGAGACTTGGTAATATACATTTATCGATTATAGTATTTTACGTTTAAAATTACAAAGCCAGGACGAACATGTTATAATTGTTAAAACACACTTTGGAGCCTAAGGTATTATTAGTGAGGGTAGAGCCTCGCTGAGGCCCTCAGCCCTAAGGTAAGGTTGGACGTTGACAAGAGTGGGAGATACATTTGTGTTGTCAAGTTTGTAAGGAGAGGAGGCAAGTTGTGAACTTGTGAGGGAGTTAAGTTGCAAAGTTGTAGTAAGGTGTGTGAGGAAGGAGGAGACAGCTTACCATGATTCTCAGTATACCCCGCTTGTGAGCTGACTGAAGACTTGGATGGAACTGATACTTCTCCTGCCTCCTCCACCCCTATTTATGTCTCCCCCGCGACCTTAACTCCGAGGATATGGTCATTACGATATCTGCTTCCTCCCCCGGTGGCGTGTGCGCGTGTGCGTGCTGGTGTGCGGGTGATGAGATGCACACACTGGAAGGAGCGACCGCCCAGTACAGGAAGAGCGCCAGCGCCACCCCCTGCGGGAGCCCTCCCACCCCGGCACTAGTCGGAAGTAAACATTGCCTCCTTCGCGTAGAATTAGGGCAGCTGTGTTGTCCGATCTCGGAGCTGCGCACCGCGGTGTACATAAGCTTGATGCTCAAGCTTATGCATGTTGAGGCACAATATAAACAAGAACAGAAGAATGATTTGAGTCTGTTGCAGACAACGACCCGACAAAGTTGACCACTTTCACTGCCAGCCGTCAAGGGCAGCAGCAGCAGCGCCACGCTGCCAAGTCGAGCCTGCTTGCCAAGCTCAATGCCTACTTCTTCCGCATCCATCTATTCGTGTTTATTGGTTATTTCAATGTTATAACAAACACACGCTTGATTGAAATGACAGTGTTTCTACGCATAGTGTATAGCAGACACACACACAGATGGGAGCTGCTATATACCCAGGGAGCTGGACCCCGGGGAACGATTGACTGCCATGCGATAATGCAATTTTTTGCGCCACCTTCCAGTCGCTCCCAGCAATCATAATAATTACCTATACTGGCGATTACCGCAACACTTACGGTGACAACTGATTATCTGAGGACTGGAATAGTTTTTATCTTCCTGGGAGGAGGAGGAGGAGGGCGCTTTCACTCAAGAGGTCCCAGATTGTCAGGCGACACACTAATGGTTTTAGTGCTAACGCATCTGTCGTTACTTATGACGCTGGCTGACCTAGAAGGTGTGGGGCACGGGAGCTTAGTACTACTTGCAACTTAAGACGCTTGGAAAAAGAGAAAGTAATAATTTGCTATATTGATGTTATAAGAATATAGTTCAAAGAAAGTTTTAAGATTTTTGTGGTGAGATTAGACATGTGCAAGACTCGTGTTGTTGAGGTGACAAATGTCCAAGACTCGTGTTGTAGAGGTGACAAATGTCCAAGACTCGTGTTGTAGAGGTGACAAATGTCCAAGACTCGTGTTGTAGAGGCGACAAGACTCATGTTGTCACACATGTAGTCCCACAAGACCTGGTTACCTTCCCTCCAGGGTGGAGTCACCCCTGGCTGCAGGGGGTGACTCCATCTGGGAGCTTGTGACTGTTGTCAGCTCTGCACGCCTGAGGTTCCCTTTGTGCTGGACACTCAAATCAGCTGTAGCCAAACTTCTCTTGATGTCACTGACTGCTTCACGCCTCTCTCTGACTTGCGACATACGAGACCATGGTGGCCATATTGGTCCGACGTCGCGCTCTCATAAATACGCCGGTGTTCGGTAGAGAAATACGGGCGACAAGGCGCATGAGCAACGCCACCACTTAGGGCCGGACGGGGTAGGCGGGTGCCCGGGAAAGAGCTACGGACAGCTAACAGGAAGTCCCCAGGATGAGGGGCAGCGAGGTGCGCTTTATTTTTCCGAGAAACTACCTCCAGCATTGTTGAAGCAGTGTTCCCTACTGTGAGGCAATCGTCCGGAGAAGCTGTTCGGGGTGAAGAGCTTGCCAGAAAACATACATACATATATATATATATATATATATATATATATATATATATATATATATATATATATATATATATATATATATATATATATATATATATATATATATATATATATATATATATATATATATATATATATATATATATATATATATATATATATATATATATAAAGTTCGTGAGGGTACCACCTCTAGTACCAATGTGGGGACCCATAGCCTCGGAGAAGAAAATAAAAAGTATTCAGAGAAGACCTTGTGGTTTCTCACTGAACACTAATATTATCTTCTACCACCCCCATTCTTTTGTATGTACACATATATATATTTGTTTTATTTGAACTTTATTACAGAAAAGGTGTTACATATATGGTACAGAGATGATTATCATAAGTTGTCGAGTTCCTCCAGTTCCATAAGTTGTTCCTCATATATATATATATATATATATATATATACCTAGTAGCCAGAACGCACTTCTCGGCCTACTATGCAAAGCCCGATTTGCCTAATAGGCCGAGTGATTTTCTTTATTCAATATTTTTTTCCAAATAGTTGTGGAAACCATAGATTTAGGAAGAAACCATAGGAAGACCATAATTTATTGACTTAGTTGTGTTAGTTTAGGTTAGGTAGGGTTGGTTAGGTTCGGTCATATATCTACGTTAGTTTTAACTCAAATTTAAACAAATTAACGTATACATAAGTTATCATTTCATAAGAACAAAATTAGAAAATTATATAAATTCTGGAAAACTTGGCTTATTAGGCAAATCGGGCCTTGCATAGTAGGCCAAGTACGACGTTCTGGCTACTAGGTACAACATTATATATATATATATATATATATATATATATATATATATATATATATATATATATATATATATATATATATATATATACTTGCACTAGCGACCTGGTGATTTCCAGACGCCTGCCTTAACCTACTCGGCCACAGTGGTTCAAAAGTTGACCAACCCAGAACAGGAACAGTATGGCGTTCACACTAAGAGTGTGAACGCCATGATGGCTGAGTGGACAGCGCTCGGGATTCGTAGTCCTAAGGTTCCGGGTTCGATCCCCGGCGGAGGTGGAAACAAAATGGGTAGAGTTTCTTTCACCCTGATGGACCTGTTCAATTAGCAGTAAATAGGTACCGGGTAGTTATGTTAGTTATGCATGCTAGTGACTGTACAAGAACGTAAGGACCCTTGTATATATAAATCAAAAAATAAACTATGAGAAAGGATGTGTAGCTGCTGCTCCAGAAACACGCTTGTACCAAATTCAAAAGCTAACACTATCCACCTCAGGAAGTTTCAAACTTGGGACCTTTGGACAGCCAAGAATGTTAACTGCTGATGTTATAGCCAATAAGTTTATTTTATTTTAATTTTTTTTTGAGATATATACAAGAGTTGTTACATTCTTGTACAGCCACTAGTACGCGTAGCGTTTCGGGCAGGTCCCTGGAATACGATCCCCGCCGCGAAGAATCGTTGTTACAACCAAGTACACATTTTACTGTTGCGTTAAACAGAGGCTACAGTTAAGGAATTGCACCCAGTAAATCCTCCCCGGCCAGGATACGAACCCATGACATAGCGCTCGCGGAACGCCAGGCGAGTGTCTTACCACTACACCACGGAGACTGTAAATCAATATCTTTGCAAAACCTTTTAGTAATGGGAGAGTAATTCTTTTTTTTTTTTAGATACATTATTTTTCTGTAAATGTTTAGTACAGAATCTCTTGCATTTTACTTGTAACTGATACATCATCATCTATATTTTCAGAGATCTATTGAATGTGTGAAAGAGATGAGATGAAGTGAAATAGAGTGCATTTGAGCTAGCAAATACACTCTATTTCACACATTCCATTCCTTCCAAATGTGCTTGAGGGGCTTAACATTAAAGAACTTAATGTTCTTTAATGTTTCTTTTACCCTGATGTTCTGTTCACCTAGCAGTAAATAGGTACCTGGCAGTTAGACAGCTGCTACTGGCTTCTTCCTGGGAGGGGGGGGGGGAGGGGGTGTAAGAATTAAGAATTATCATGGGAAAGCGCCAAGCCATTACGACTATGTAGCACTGGGAAGGGGTCAGGATAAGGATTTGTGATGGGACGCGGGAGGAAAGGAATGGTGTCTAGCGGGGGGGGGGGGGGGGCTAACAAAAAGGAAGCCTGGTCGAGGACCGGGCCCCGAGGACGCTAAGCCCCGAAATCATCCCAAGATAGCCTCAAGATAGCCATAACCGTAGGCCCCAGTGCAGTGCTGGTTCTGAAGGCCCTGATTTGGGGGTCTCCAGAACCTCCCAGTGAACTCGGTGGAGTTCTGGGTTGGTCAGCTTTTGTACCACCGTGGCTGAGTCGGTTAAGGTAGACGTCTGGGAATCACCAGGTCACCAGTCCAAGTCATTCACCCTGTTCTAGTGAAGGTTTGCTGTCCAGCAAACAGCAGCTCTGGCGGCCCAGCTGGTCCAGCGAGCAGCAACTCTGGCGGCCCAGCTGGTCCAGCAAACAGCAGCTTTGGCGGCCCAAATGGTCCAGCGAGCAGCAGCTCTGGCGGCCCAGCTGGTGGCCATGAGCCTCGTCACCAACAACTTCCACGCTGCTGATTGAATTACATGTAATCATCTCCATTTGGTGAGGCTTCTCAGTTATTCTTAACTTAAAAGACATAGATTAAGGAACGTTTTTAACCTGATTTTAAAGTTAAATTTCTATATTGCTTTTGGGATATTTAAATGAACGCTTACTGATCCACGAGCCATGAAGAATGAAGAGTTGAGTTTGATAAACATACACGGCTTCTTAATACTCAACCTCTTCCTAGGACGTGACCTAGCAAGAGGTCACGTCCTTCAGCCACGTCTTAACCCCTCTCTCACTTACCAATGACCAGATCGTCGCCGCCATTTTATTTTCGTTTTATTTAGACTATCTTGTACCTCCTCCTGCGTCCTACCTGCGATATTCGTCTCCTTACCGCCTCCGACTTAGTAATTTCCGCTTTGTTGCTCTTGCGATGTCTCGCCTCCGACTTCCTGTTTCAACCCATCAACACCACTTCCTTATCCAAGACCTCATGTGTCTGCGTCTCTCAATACCTTAGACCTGCGCGCTTCCTTCTTCCAGTCTTCGTCGCCTTCTACAAGAGGCGGCGTGATGAGCGGGTCGTTAGCAACGTTCTTCCCCGTCACTCCCCCCCCCCCACCACCTCGGGCCTTGCTAGTGCAACTTACCCTTCAGTGTTGCAGCAATGAAGGGCTTCCTGCCGGACCTGCAACCCCCCGTCGCTGGCTGGCTCAGGGACCAACGTGCTTGAGGCTGGCTGGCTCTCCAGACCCGTTCTCACCCAACATCAGGTAATACGCCAGGAGCAAGCAGGCTCCTGGCGTATTACCTCATGCAAGAACAAGAAATTTAATCAA